ACACATTTCACATTAGTAACCAAAACTGGGCAAAGCCATAATATGCCCTTTGGGGGGTTCATAGGTATACTTCCAGTCTAAACAACTAAACATAGACTACATGCTTTCTACAAATTGATGGAACTGACATTAGATTGATATTTATTCATTCTTACATTGCCACATCTGTCCTGTAAAGACAGCAGAGGGGCCCTGTAAGCAGGTGATGTCATATATGACATTGGTAGTGTTGCAGGTGAATGAACCTCAGACATTATAATCTGTGTTCTTTGGTCCAGTGATGATGTAGTCTATATTGGTGAGGTGGCACAGCTTGCATCTGGGTTCATTGCAAGGCTTGGTGCCTCATTGACAATGGGGGTTAGGTAGCCTGTTACTGGAGAGAGACTGTTTGAAGTTGAGGGGGCTGTCTGTAAGCCAGGGCAGATTTGTCCTCAGTGACTACCTTGAAACAGCCGTGCTTTTTCAGGAGGAATTGGAGGTCATTAATATGTCCAAGGTGGTCAAGCTGGCGGCTGTAAGTGACAAGCAAAGGGATTCTGTTGTCCTTGTCTTAGAGTTGATATTGGAAGATAACAGAAAAAGGAGCAACGGTTTCAGGTTGCAGCAAGGGAAGTTTAGGTTAGTTTTTTTCCTCATATCTTTCTCACTAGGAGGGTAGTAAAGCACTGGAACAGGCTCCCTAGAGAGGTTGTGGACTCTCCATACTTAGAAGTTTTAAGACCTGGGTAGACAAAACCTTGGCTAGGATGTTCTGATTGGGAACACTCCTGCTTTGAGCAGGGGGTTGGACTAGATGACCTCCTGAAGTCCCTTCTAACCCTAATTTTCTATGATTGTAGCAAGTTGGAGTGAGGTCTGAGTCTGGGTTTGTTGATTTGAACAGCAGTTTGGGGATTGTATTGTAATTGTAGAAAATAAATCACTGCTCCAGATCCTTAAGGTGTGCAACCTGGTCAGTGGGATCAGAGCAGATATGGATATAACATAGATCTTGACTGCATACACTGGATCTAGTAGTGTGCTTAGGCTGCAAGCCACTGGTTTGGTGGTCACTGGGTTTCTGATACAATGTAATAGTGATGTGGCCATTGCAAACTTCCACTGTGGTGTCTGAGAAATTAATTTGCTAGGTGGAGTATTCCAGAGTTAGTTTGATGGAGGGGTAGAAGTTGTTAAAGTTATCATAAAATATCTCTAGAAAAGTCCTGCTATGTGCCAATACAACGAGGATGTCATCAATGTACAGTAGGTTGATCGGGGGGTATGAATGTGGAGGAAACGGACTTCAAGGTCTGTTGTAAATATATTGGCATATTGGGGACATAGATGTGCCCATGGCAGTGCCATTCATTTGTAGGTCTTAGGGAGTACCCAAATCTGAAATAGTTGTATCTGAGGACAAAGCAGGAGAGTGCAATAGAAACAGAAGCAGTGTCATCATCAAAGATAATGTTCGTTATGGCTCGCAATCCATTCTCATGGGAGATGGGGCCATGCAGAGATGGACATTCATGGTAGCTAATATGGTGTTTGCTGAAAGCTTGTCGATGGAGCCCAGTTTGTTTCAAAAACATTTGGTGTCTTTCAAATAGATGGCAGCTCCAGTGGTATACAGGAATAAAACAGAATCAGCATAGCCAAAAACACCCTCTGTGAAGGTGCCAATGTCAGAGACAATGGAGCATTCTGGGTTGCTAAGTTTGTGAATGATTATATGAGAAGATGCTGGTAAGACAGGAAGCAATGAAAAACCTTTTAAAAGTAAACTTACCCTCTTATAACTTGCAGTAAGGGAAGTTTAGGTTGGATATTAAGAAAAACTCTCTCACTAGGACAGTTGTGAAGCACTGAAATGGATTACCTAGAGAAATGGTGGAATCTCCATCCTTGGATGTTTTAAAGGCCCAGCTTGACAAAGTCCTGGCTGGGATGATGTAGTTGGGGCTGGTCTTGCTTTGAGCCGGGGGTTGCACTAGATGTGACCTCCTGAGGTCCCTTCCAAACCTCATTTTCTATGAACCTATGGTTCTCTGCTACTCAGGTTGTTAGTCAGGGGCATGTGGTGGTAAGTTAAATTCACAAAGTTCCTGGTCCTCCCATTCCTGCACAAGATGAAGTTAGCAGCTGAAGTCCTGTGGAAGTGAGCTTTGAGAAAGTGTTTGAATAGGGAAGTGATGGGCTGCATGCTCCATGGAACCAGGGGGTTGTTCCATGAATGGAGGAAGCATGGAAACCAGCAGTGGGTAGGAAGGAGGCATCAAGGCTAGTGTTATTGAAGGAGTCAAGGGGAATGCAATAGGGGAGGAGATCTGAGATACAGATCATGACACAGCTCCACGTGCCCTAAAAACAAGGACAAGAAATCTAAACTCCTGGGAACCAGTTACAAGATTCAAAGAGGGGAGTGACATGATTTGACTGACGAGCAAGGAGCCTAGTGTCTGATGTCCTGGGGGATGAGAGAAAAGTTTTGTTCTGGAGAAAAGTCTTTTAGTTTAAGCACAGAGATGATTTATGGCCCTCTCATGTCATCTGCATAAACTAGCACATTTTGTGCCTGGAATAACTTTTCAGGGATGAAAGATGCTGTTGAGAACAGCAGAGGAAGGCAAGCTTCAGTCTTTCTTAGTGTAAAAGCCTTAACTGCATGGTCTTGCTTTATTTATGTCTCAGAGCTAAGGGCTTAATCTCCTTTTCTTTAAGTGAAACCCGTTCTCAAGCTGACCAAGATAAGACCCAAAGAGAACCGAACACTGGTCACCTGCATAAAAATAAACTAGTGAAAGTACATTTTGAGATCACGTAAGAGTAGCCAAACTGAGATGTTCTCTGCATAGCTTAAGAATAAATCAATCCATCTGTTTCACTGACCTTCCTGGACACTGATGATTCCCTCCTCCGAACGGCACAAAGTTGTCCAAGAAAGCATTCTTCTCTAAATTTGCTGCTTTCCAGCGATCCTGTGGGAAGAAAACATTTTTTTCCCACCAGCTTCATATAAATAATCTTAAACTTTATTTTTCCAGGCTAAAAATAACTCTGGATAGCCACCTTGCACATGAACCTTAACCGATGCCGTTTTCCCTGTTACTGCTAGAATCTAGGTTTGTAAATGAGGTGATTTAATCAAGCACATCTTTAAAGACAAGAATGTTCTGTTTTTTAGGGTATTCAGCCAGCTAAAAATGCAGGTATTGGGATCTTCCTAAGTGCTTTAGGTACCCAACCCACCAATAATTTCCAAATCCTGCTCAGCACAGTCAGCATAGTTTCGGTGTTTAAGTGCTCTTAAAAAAAAATCTATCCCTTTTCAAATAAAAACAAGAAGATTCAAAGTACATATATCCTGTGAACCCAGCTCTTATTTAATTACTGTATAATGCCAGACAAAACAAACTACTCATGCCTAAACTTTTCAAAGTGCCCCAAAATATTAGCAGAAACAGATTACACATTAATTTGGAGGCCAGATGAGAGAAAAGAAAGAATAAAGCAGCAATGAATGAGTCCCAGATAAAAATTGATTTTGGTGTGAATAAGGGCTAGATGCTGAGCCGGTTAATAGGCAACTAGCTATTATAAGCATTTAAACCCAGAATGTCCACCTGGTCCAGGGGTTCTCCACCTTTTTAAACTTGAGGCAAAAAACTCGGAAAGACCACAACAGGGCAGAATGTTTTTAATGTTATGGATTCCTATTTGAAATTTCTAGGGTTATCATGTGAATCATGTTTGCACGCCTAACAGTGCTCGCACTGCCTGGCATCTTTGAAAGGATCTCAAAGCATCCCTGGGCCCCGTGGCACCATGGCTGAGAATTATGACCTAGCCTAACATTCAAGGATGGGGGTATGAGTATTCCCCCTTGAGCCAACAACCAAAACAGTTTGAGTGTAGCCAAGGAAGTCCTTTGTTCCTCCTGGGGCTGGATTTTATAATGAGGAAGAGGAAACTAAGCAAAGCAGCTGGGGCCAGACTCTGGGTGGGCTGCGACAGGCTGCAGTAACTCTCTTGGGCTTGGATGAGGTTCTGGAGTGGGATGGATAACTATTTGGGCTGGAGAGCCACTTAGAGAGTTCTGGTGACCTGTTGCAGGCAAGGGGTGCTGACCCGGTGTGGCGAGGGTTGGGGGCACTGACCCAGCCTGGTGCAGTGGGCGAGGGTGTAGAGGGGGGGAGCAAGAAAGGATGCGATTGATCCTATCCAGCCAGGGCCTGTCCACCCTGCACCAGACACAGCGGGCAGGCCGGCAGACGGATTCTCCATGGAGACTGGCCTGGGACCCCCACTGGCAGGTACACTCAGTTGGTTGGGTGGATGCGATGGGGCTACAGGTAGTTGCGGAGTGGCACCTGGGAGTGGAACGGGTGGGATCATGGGGCGGTGAAAGCACAGGGCCAGGGCTGGGGCCCAGGGCAGAGCCACGATCAGCTTCCTGCACGCCCCTACCTGTGGAACTGGCAGTCATCCCAGGGATGTGCGGGGAGTAGATCGCCGCTCCGCCCTGGGCCTCAGTCCCACACTGTCACCACCCTGCAATCCTGGGCCCAGCCTCACCTGTCCATCCCACTCCCAGATGCTGCTCCCTGCCTGCCTGCGCTCTCCTCCCATATATCCAGCCAAGCATGCCCTGCATGTGGGGGTCCTGGGCCATTCTCCATGAAGAGCCCACCCACTCACCTGCCCACTCCATCCAGCACCCACAGCAGTGGGTGGAGGGTGGATGGGCTGGAGTGCTTGGGCAGCAGGGCTGGGTCTGGCAGTGGCAGTGACAGTGGCAGTAACAGCTGGAGGGAGCTGCCACCACCAGGGCTGCTGGGAAGCTGAGTGCGGCCACCACACTGCCACAGCTCTGCTATGTCTCTGGGGCAGTGGGACTGGCCACGTGTCAAGGCCTGGGCTGGACAGGGCCAAGGGACCTGTGGTGGGCCAGATAAAATCCCTTGGTGGGCCAGATCTGGCCCGCAAGCCATATTCTGCCTACCCCTGTTCTAGAGATGTGGTTTGCTGAATGGAGGTCTTGGTGCAAGGGCCTCATGAACTTTCTTGGGACTACCCCTTCCCTGAGGTCTTCTTAAGGGGAGTGTATTCTTCTACCTGTTTGTTTTGCCTTGCCCTTGTCTTGGAGCTTATAGGGCTCTGGGGAGGAAACCTGAGACCTAACACAGGTGAGACAGTGTCCCAGAATTAACAGACCAAGGAAAACTAATATGGCTGATTATTTTCCTTATTCACAGGGTTTCATACAGTAACATTAAAATGAATCCCTATGACACTGAGAGCAAAGTTAATTAACAGGTGCTATTTGCTACAATAAGATTAGTCTATTTTCTGCACCGTAAAAATATAAACAAAGCTTCTTGCTGCTAGGGTTGTTAAAAGTTGGGTGCAATGGTACACATGGTGCTTGGTAATGCATGGTAATGAGGTTGTGCAGGATATATGAATCAACAACAAGCAGATGTTTTATTTCTGGATGGCAGAGGGGCTTGAAGCAACAGCTGAAGTCATGAGGCAAAATGAGGGAAGCTAAACTAAATAGAGCCCCATGCAACAGGGACCCCCAGCCCCTGCTACTTAGTGAGTTGGAAACCAGCATTGCAGGGCTACAATTAGGTAGGCAGCTGGGCAAGGGCCTGCTGCAGAGCCACAACCAGCCAGGGAAAACCACACGGGCTAAAAGTGCAGCAAGGGAGAGAGCAGTGACTGTAGCTCAGGGCTTAAGTTACAGCACCTGAGGGAAGTCTGAGTATGGGACTAATTAGAAACTTCTGGCCAAGGAGAAGGTCATGTGACCCAAAACTACTAAAAGCCTTGCCTTGGGGTAACAAGGAACAAGGGCGCCTCTTGGGGTAACAAGGAACAATGGTCACAAACTGACAGAGAGCAGATTTAAGCTAGACATCAGGAAAAACTTCTTCACGGTAAGGGTGGCCAACATTTGGAATGGACTTCCATGGGAGGTATAGTATATTTATGGAAGAACTAGCAAACTGCCTGGCAAGACTGACTGGGGATGGGATGGTGGGGAGCGGGGGCAGAGACCTGTGTCTGCCCCCCTCATCTGGTCCGGGCCTCATCCAGGCCTGCTCCTCTTGGAGCAATCTGATTGGTTGTTTCAGACAACCTGTCAGAGTGCGAACAAAGTGTTACAGACAGACAAACAGACTAAGGCTTTTATATATATAGAATGGAGCACCATAGAGCAGACCAAGGATGGATCATCACTTCACTCCCAACTAACATATCCCCTTGTCCTGGACAGATTCCAGCACTGTCTTTCATTGGTTTTTCTCATCAACTTTGTGCTCACAGACTCGGTGGGAGTGGGAGCTTGTGGTTAAGCTGCCCCCAGTGCTGAAGTTCCCAGTTCTCTGGTAGGGTAAATGGCAGAGGTGTAGGTTGTAGCCATATTGGTCCAAGGACATAGGCAGACAAGGTTCTTTGGGTAAATCCAATATCTTTTATTGGACTAACTGAAAGAGTTGGAAAATATTCTTCTTTGCAAGCTTTCAGGCACAAACACCCTTCATCAGACCAACTGAAGATTCTTCCTCAATCTGAAGGGTGTTTGTGCCCAAAACCTATACTCCTGCTACTTACCATGGCTCTCAAGGCTGGAGCTCAGGGC